ATGTATTATTGACTCACCTCTCATTATGTAAGCATTCATAAAAAGCGGTGTGCACTGGCTCTTCCTAGGTGATAACAATGCAGGCCGGTCGCATCACATATTTCAGAGCGCTGGGCTCTGCCTGTTGTTCTTCCTCCCAAATCCCATGGAAATGATTTACTCTTCGGCCTTGCACCCAGAGAGTTCGAGGGAGGACTACCACTTGTAGATTTATTACCCAATGCCCTCCTGTTCCTTGGAATCCTTGTAGCTGCTAACTAGCTTTGAGTTAGCATGCCCTTTTCCATTCTTTTGCAACACTGGTAAAGTGGTGTCATTCAAACATAGTCCATTCACTTCCACGTTAACTTCCAACCGCTGCATTTCATTTCCAACACGGCCATCTTCTGTAGAAGTTTGTGGAAGTCATCTGTAGAGAACGGAGGCATTTTGCTGCTAACTAGCTAAATGCTAAATAACATGCAGTACCAGGCTTTAGCTGTTGCTTGGCCACGCTACTGTAAGACAGAGGTTGTCGTAAAAATATTGAAATATGGCTGAAACCCTCCATCTATTTACGAAGAGTAACTGTCCCAGTGATAAGTTAATTTCCAGGAGCCGCTGCTCGAAGTTATCAGAAAAGAAAAATAGGAAAATCAGCATAAAAAAAGTAAGCAGACGCAAGAGCAAGCAGAAAAGCGTCTGCTTTAAAACTTTCTTTCTTAGGAATATCCTTTCCATTATCCCCACGTTTACGCCTATTAAAACAGATATTCCATAACTGACAAAAACTGCTCATTCAGTTTTAATGGCTGGGATAACCTCAGCTACCAGAATTATATTGAGACACTGGAAATTACCCACAATCCCAACATTTAACAAATGGAAGACTCTGAGTGAAACAGCATCATATGAGGTTATATTGGCAAGAATGAGGGGTAGAGGACCTGTGGTTCTAGGAAGTTGGAATACCTGACCTCTAACTGGTAGCCTGACTGTTATTCTAATCAAGCATCATTTGTTGTTATTATTTTATGATCGCTGTAGTGTCTGATTGGTAATCTTACACCTTTGTATTTTTCTTTTGACCAGGTACACTTAACTAACATGTTTTGCAGCCTGACCTTCCTCTTTCTGTATGCTGTACCATGTGAGCTATGTACCATGTATGTTCATAAATAAAAACTTTAATAACAAAAAGAACATGTATCACAGCTCACATCTAATTGGTCTGGATTTGTTTCTCACCTGTCCAAAGACGTAGAGGAGGCCCACTGTGCCCCCGACCCGGCCACCCAGGACAGTGGAGATCATGGAGTAGACTCCTCCACTGCCAACACCGCAGTGCTCACACACTCCGATCCCCGACATCACCACCACTAAGGCAAACAGCACGACCATGGAGACCTGGAACATCCCGAGCAGCACGCCTGTGTTCCCCTGGATGATGATGATGATGATGATGGAGACAAGATAACACAAAATACTATCCCATGTGAAAGTGTTGCACATCTGCAGCATGTAACTCATCAACAACTTTAAATACAAAATATTTGTATGCAAAAAATCTAGTTATATAGTCTTTTACTTTCAAATATATTTGTATTGGGGTCTAAAACCAATGAATGAGCAACGCAATCAAGGGAATCTTATCCTTAAAACTCTGGATAATTATTACTTTTTAAAAACATACAGTTAATTGCATATTTATCTTTGCAAGTACAGAATGATGAGGCCAGCACTGCAATTGATGATAAATCTTCTGGGGGATCCAAAGAAAACGTAATCTGCAGCTTTAAATTAAAATATCTTGTATTTATTTTATAATAAAGAACCAAAGCACACTTTGTAAATAATTCAAGCATGCTTCTATCATATTCTCAAATATTTATTCTGTTAATGTCTCTGCACATTTTTCTCATTAACCAAAATAATTAGTCAATCTTTTGCTTTTAATGTAACGTTCCTGTGTTCAAGCTGTAGGTAAATGTGTGCAAAAATCATTATGTCTGATCTAGGAGAAACTGAAAAGAAAATTGTTACCCGCATGATATTTGCTTTAAACTCTCTCACACTAGTATTTGCAGAGTTAAAACCATATGGTTAGATTTCTGCTTTAGTATAATGGAAAACTAAGGATGATAAATGATGTTCATGTTTGGAAGACATTCTGGTGACACACACTTCACTTTCGCACAATAAGTAGTGAAAGAAGCAAGTCCTTTATGAGGAGATTCCTCTCACTCACACTCAAGTTACCGTTTTTCTCACATGGCAAACTATGTTTAAGCTGTCAAGTGTAACTCAAATGAATGTAGTAATTAAGATCATAGTGTCTCTGTGCTGAATCCGGAGATGACACATGCACATTAAAGTGTTTGGGATCATCTGATGCAGTGACACACACTTAATGATGGTTGCAGCTAAAAACTCAAATCAAACAGCCTTAACAGAGCTAGAAAGATACATGTAAAGTAGAGCCAAGCCCAAGCTTGAGTCTACAGATTATAAAAGGGAAAATATAAAAATAATCAGTCTTCCAATAGCCACACACAGTTCATTTCTAATTAGAAAAGTCAATATTTATTTGCTCTTCGAAAGCACCTGATTGCAACCGTTGTGCACACTAAGCACTTCCAAATGCATTTCAATATAATAATATTGAAAGGGAATTCCTTTAGGGGAGACCATAAAATCTTACTGAAGGCTTCAATCTATGGGCAGATTCTTTATTGTTTTCAAAAGATAAAAGTAAAAGAAGGAATTTGGAGGTGGGGGGTTGCTCCAATGGACAACACTGCCAACATATTACCGATTCATACTTAAAGAAGGTAATCTCTTTTACATTAAGCTGAGGGCAAACTTCATGACTAGATGCAGCTCTAAGAGAACAATAACATTCAGCATACATTCACAAAATGTATGGATTATGGTTAAGATAAAATAAAAAAATGTGTTGCTTTTCTGTTGATTAATAAACAAGAAAAATGTGAGTGCGTAGTCAAGCTGTGATTATTTCCTAATATGTAGATAGAAGAACCAAAAGACAAGAAGAAAAAAATACTAACCACAAGGAAGCCGGTACGTAGGAAAAGTACCACACCAAAGATGTTGATCATGCAGGTGGTAAATACTCCATCCCAGGTACCGAAGAGCACTGGCTCCCACACAAACAGCTTGATCCTCCACCAGGGCTGGCTGGACAGCTGCAAGCCCTGCCGAAGACAAACAACAGTCACAGAACTGGCTGGTTTAGTTATCCCATAATCAACAAGTCAATATAATATTTGAGGAGCAAATACCTGTGCATCTTCATGAAACAGATCATGGATATGTGAGTTGGCGTCAGTAACTCCCCGCTTCAACAGGTCTGCCCTGTCTCCCTCCGGCAGGGTTGCCATTACAACGATTACAACCTATAAATGTGAATAGCTGCGGTAAACTTCAACAGGTGGGCTTTTTTCTTTAAATTAAGCATAGGTGTAATATCACAACATGAAGAAACTCGATTAGGGCTTGAATATATTTCAGACAGCTTATAGTTAGAATTAATTAATAAGTGACCACAGCACATTAGTTATGGACATGAGTTTTTGTTGAAACTGAAATTGGTCCCGCCTGTCATGGTTAAACAACAGGTGCAGCACGCGGACACCCGGATACACCTGGGTGTGCTCGTGATCCAGACACTACAGCTAATTCAGTAATTAGCTAGGCTACTATGTTACCACCACAATCTAGCTAAACATAAACAAGATTAAGACCACAGGCCGCAATTTACGGTGAAATACTAGAAAGTATATGTCAACAGAATTGGCATCAAACAGCGGAAAATATTGTATTATAACAGTCTTAACTTACTTTTTTTAGTTTAGCTAAACAACCGTTTTTCTTTGCTAAATATATTTTGGGGGAACCTCACTAGTCGTCATCAAAGAGAGACCGTCATAATCAAAACAAAATTAACACATTTTTCAATGTAATGTTTCATGGTGGCCAAATGGAAAATTAAATGGAAATAAAAAGTTTAAAAAATGCTCCAGGTTCTGAGTCACTATTATTCAGTCTTAAATCAGACAAAGACAAACACGTAACTATGTGGCCAGACAGTGAAACACAACGACTATCTTTTAAATGTTAATGTTGGTGAGCTTAAGCCTTTAATTGAGCAGCAAGCATTCAGTAAAGAAATGTATTACATTTGTATGAGGCAAAAACTGATACTGACAATTATCTTTTTTTTTACATTAGGGCTTGATGCTCCTCCATTCATGGAGTTTCTCAGCTAACGTTAAACTCAACAGCTGGCCAAACCTACCTTTCAGAGTCCCTTATCTTTCCATGCTAGAAAAGAGGAATAGTTAGTTATCAACTCGACATACCAGTTCATTGTTCTTCAGAGATGTCTCCAGTGAGTGTAAACAGGACTCCCAGCTTCTCCTGCTGTTTGTTTGGTGTGAAAACGAACACACGCGTCTGGTAACTTTTGATAGCCTACCTCCCAGGGTGTGTTGCTGCTTTGCTCCAGGATCCTGTGTTAGTTTTGGCAAGCCCTTCAGAAGGTTGACTAATGATTAAAGAAGTGAAATGCAGGTGCCACTCAATATCCTTAGCATTTTATTTCAGTGGAATTATTCCCTAAAACCTGATTTGGACACTAGATTTGGGGAAAGGAGATTATGGTTTTAGGCCTACATGTTGTTAGGAATATTTCTACCGGTCTACATGTAAATAACAGACAATAAATCATTCATGTTTATATTTTTGGAGTTAACAAATGAGGGCTATGTTTATCAAGTGAAAGTGTCCAGAATAAAGTAATTGGATTCAACAGGTAGCAACATTGGTGATTTTACTTTATCAATCTTTATCTATTTCCAACCTTTCCTATCTTATTATTCTTGACTATAATGTTGTAAGGATCTATATCTTTGATCTGTTGGTTTGGCTCTTGGAGATTGTGATTAACACTTTTTCAAATGTCATAGACATTTCACAGACAAAGGCAAAAAAGATTAATAAAAAAAGGACCCTCGTAAAATCCTCTGACCGTCAAGTTGACTTTTGTCACTCAATTATTGAACGGCACCAGCAGCTTAATGGTCTTTGGATATCAAAACAATTTCAAGGTATAATACTGTGAATAATTTTATTTATAACGACATGACACAACAATCAAAACAACAATTGAATCAGATTGTTTACAAATCATAATATATAGCAAAAGATATAATCATATGGGTTACTTGACTGAAATGAATCAGCTACAATTAAAGCTGCACATTAACCATAAAACAAGTTCACTTGACCCGACAAGTTAGAGACCATGCATTTAAACCTTATTGTCCAACTGAAGATCGACCTAACAGTGAAGCAGAAGGGCTTCCTCGTCAAGTTCTTGAAAAGTATGAAAAGTATGCCAAAGTAGGAGATTCCCATCAGCAATTGAAAGATCTTGACACAAACGACTTGTACAGAGATAAATGAGGGTAGCAATAGTGACTGCATATGATATACTGTACATATCAGTGCCTTAAATGACATGTTTCAAAAATAGTTTTTATCAAAAATTCAATAATTCAGATCTTTTTACACAAAACAATTTTTCTGGAGCTTATACAAGGACACTTATGGCCAGGTTACTGACAAGTTAGTTTAAAGGAAAGGTACTGCTGATATAATTCACAAATATTCTTCAGTTCTGGATATTGAATTGCTTAACTGAATTAAAACTTCTCCATGATTCAATTAAATGGATACAATGAACCGACGCAGTCTTACTGCACTGTGCTTTCAATAATGTCTAACAATGAAATGGGTAGCAAGTGAAATTTAAACCACAACACTTTTAAGTTATACTCCGCCCAAATGCTATTTTAACTGACAAGATTTCAATCCCACCTCAGCTTCTTGATACTTATAAAAAGAGTGATTTCAGGTGGATTATTATTAAAAACCAAATCAACATTTTCTCAGTGAGGGCTTTTCATTCCCAACCGTGGCAAATCCCATCATAATGAACAATCAACAACCTTGATTTACAAACAAAAAAAAAGAGAAATTAATTTTACCTAGTTGATTTAACTCTTTATAACAGTGATGAGATATATAGTAACATTAGAAAAGCCACATCTTTGTCAGCAAGTTAAATGGATTCATTGTTGGATGTTAAAAAAAATCCTCTGACAAAAAGTGTCTCTTGCACAAGCCTCTCTATTGACACAACGATCTAACAGTACTTCTCAGAAGAACATAACAATATACAAAGTATTTACAGCAGTATCATACATTCTTGTGGGAATGTTCAATGAGGAAAAATAAAGCATTTTTTATGATTTATGTGGTTGCGGTCTGTCCCTGATGGTCTGTAGAATTTAAACAAGAGGGAGCTAAACACGAATTACCAAACATAATTTGAGGGCGCATTTTAAAACAGTGATTTACACATAGCACCTCACACATACTTGTACACATCGAAAACCATAAACAGTGTGATGAAGAACAGATGAGACCTCACTCCATCACTTTTCAACAAGGCCTGAACAGATGTGGTGATAATGCTCAAAACTGAAGACTCTAGCACAGTCAATGAAAAAATGCTTTTTCCATCCATCCACAGATAATAGTTTGAGAACTAAACTCGGAGCCATTTCTTGCTAAAATAATAATATATGATGCGCAAAAATAAATAAAGCTCCCATATTTTAACGTATTACAGACTGAATAAGTTGATAGCTTATGTTTTTGTTGTTATTGTGCAAGAGGAATTAGTAGCCATAGCCAAAACTGACTAAAAAACAAAAATACAGGAATGAGTAAAGGAAAGCCTGTAATTAAAAAAATTAAAAGGCACAGATGTAAAACGAATAAAACTGGAAAACAAAGCACCTAATTTCCAGGTGGACACTCTTTCATAATATAGCCTTAATGAGCATTTAGGAGAGTCTAATCACATTGTTTCCGAAAGAAAACAAAGTATTTTAAACTGCAGAAAACAAGAGCCACAGCATCATCTGTAATTTCAAATTACCCAAATCAGAAATGATGAATTACATTCCTGTCGTTGAATAATTGTGCAAATTGTGCAAGAGTAAAGCACAATCCTTGTAAGTAATCTTATTTCAACTAATTTATACTGGACAACAGTAATAACCTGGCAACCATTACATGGATGTAGCTATTTGAAACCGTAATCATTTTTTTGTTTTATTTTTTTAACACAAATACAGCCCAACATTTGCCTATTCTGTCACAAAAGGCTGTGCCAAGAAATTAACCTACAAAGGGAATGTTTCATTAATGGAATTACAATTTCTTCTCTTTGGCCAATTTACAAGACAAGTCCGATCTGCAAATGGAAAAAACTATTATATTCCATATCAGATGAGTACACTCAAATCAATGGGGCACACCCATCTCAGGTGACAGTAAAGTGACTTCAACATAAGTCACATTTATGATCTAATCATTTTCTAATTTTCTCATTTCTTAGACAACTTAACAGGAGTCACACTGCTGGATTAAGATTGTAAGTAGTGAATTTCATATAATCAGCAAGCGGGGTAGCTACAGTAAGAGCAAAGAGGCAAATATAAATAGGGGGCTATTATTAACAAGTGGTTGCATTAAGCAGCGAAAGTAACAATGATTTGTTTTGTGCAAGGCAAACTGATTGACTTTAAACATAAATTCTGTGGCGATGCTATGAGAGGATATTTCGCTTTGTCCTGCATTACACTTTGGTCATGACTCAATTTACATTCTGGGGCAAGAAATAACACATTTTTTAAAGGGGAAGTGCGAATTAAGTATCTCCATTTTAGGAGGTTGCGCTTAACAAAACATATTTTTTTCATGTTTTATGACAAAATACGTTTAGAAAGAAAACATAGTGGACAATGGGACTTGTTTTGGCTGAACAGGAGACATGAGATAAAGTGCCGCTGAAATTATGAAGAGGAAAATGAATTCTTCAGCCAAAGGTTTCACTGGAGGAAACATCAGGGGACGAGTTCAGTTGAGACCTGGTCTCGACGACTCTGACTAAGGGGAACTCTGAGAAGTCTGTGCTGTGTGCTCGGAGACTTAATTGTCCATTGGCAACGGTAAACTGTGAGGAGGATCCAGATCTTGATGTCTGGAATTGGGATTTGAAGTTCTGATCGAAGGAGCTTATTTGAAACGTCTGAATTATGCCTTGAGAAGAGTCTGTCTTTTTGGAGGGCGAGACCTCCTGCAGAAAGTCCTCCTCAGCCGGAGACACAGCAGATGGAGGGGTGGTCTCGTCGCCTGAAAACGAAAACGAGTGCTGAGAGTCCCCGACGAGTAATCCAAAGTGAGGTTTCTCTGAAGTGGACCTTAGCGGAGAGCTCATCCCTGATTTGAACCTGCTGGGGGAAGGAAACTGTTTCTCTGTGGAGAACAGAGGTTGCCCCGCTAAGGTGGGGTTTTCCGAGACCAAGCTGAGGCTTTGGCTGGTCAGGTAGCTGTCGTTCTGGCTGGTCCTCTCAAGTGCTTGCTGGAGAAACTTTGAGTATTCTTGCAAGAGGCTGACCTTTTCGGTAGCCGGCTGAGGCTGGGCACTAGAGACCACAAGGTTTTCCACAGGGCTGCCGTCTGCAACCTCGGAGGAATTAATGGATATGCTGGATGTCACCTCTGTGTCGGCCACGCTGAAGGAAATGTCCGATTGCCCGTTGGCTTTGTTGGAGTAATGTTCCAACAGCGTCTGAAGAACCTCGTCTGGCAACACATTCTTGTCATGCGTGGCTTTTATCTCTGCGCTGATAGGCTGGGGCTCCAGGATGGTGACGGGGACATTCTCGCCAATGACGGCAGAGACTACGGTTTGTGTGACAGACGGCTGGGAGGAAATGCTGCTTGTGTTCAGGCTGTAATCTCGACTGTTGTTGGCCATCGCAGCCTGAAGGTAGCGCTTCTTCTTCAGGAACTGCATGGCGTCGTCGTAGTTTGTGCTGCTAGCTGCTGGCTTTGTTGGTCTTTCTTGAAGAGTTTCGACTGACTCGAGCTCTGTGTTGCTTTCCACCTCTAAAAGGCCTTGCTTGTCCACGATCTCAAAGGTGTACTGTGTGACCTTAGTATTTTCCTCAAAGGAAGACGAAGTGGAGAGGCAGGGAGGAGTTTGTTCACTGGACTGTTTGAGACTCCTCTTGGGGACTTTCTTCAGGACTAGTCTGGGGGGAGTGGTGTCCCCCGACGACACTTCTCCCTCTTGGTGTTGGCTAGCCGGTTCTTCAGGTTCCACAGAGAAGTCAGCTATCACATACTCGTGTTTGATCTTGGAGGACACAGCAAAGAGAGGTAGACCTTCAATTTTATTCTGTCTCTGCTCCTCCTTCTCCTCCGTTTCGATTACAGTGACAGTGTGCCCGTCTGTCTGGGCAGCAGTGGAAGCTTCGGGACTCTTGTCTGCACACTTTTGTCGTTTTTTCTTGGGCAGTGAACAGTCTTGGGCAAGAAAAGGGAGGTCCAAAGAATCTGCTTCAAGCAAAGGCCCGACTTTACCAGCTGCTTTGTTGGTCTTTCTCTCTCTGTTCTCGTGACACATTCGTCTGTGCTTTAAAACCCGGTCTGTTCTGGAGAAGTACTGTAAATAGACCAAAAAAAGTAACTTTATTTTACCAGGAAGCAGGCTCAATGCAGTGATATACAGCATATTCATTGTTTTAAAAGGTCTGTAGTAGATGTTTTTTTATTACCATCGGGGCTTCAAATGAGAAATGAAGAGTGTCTGTTTTTGTGTTTTAGGACGTCATCACAACAAGTAAATACATCTTACCCCAAAAAAAGTGATTGAGCAGTTATTCTTTTCTTACCAAGTCAACTTCAATCAGTTTCTACAAGTACAGTAACAACATTCAACCTTATGACTGAAACTCCAAAGTTATCTTACTGCCCTTCTGCTGTAGGCCTTTTTTTCTACCTGCAAAACCTGCAGTATTTTATTAGCTAACAGAAACAGAGCTTGCCTGGTGACAGTAGTCACATTGGTATGGTTTCTCTCCGCTATGAGTCCTCTTGTGTCTCTCCATGTGGTACTTCTGGATGAACCTCATGCCACACTCGTCACAGCGAAAAGGCTTTTCTCCTACACAAAGAGACAAAAAGGAAAAACAAACACTCGAGACTGAAATGGAGCAAAATAAAATCACAATGCATAGAGGCTGCATTCATTCTTTACTCACCGGTGTGGATCTTCTCATGTCTCTGGAGGAGATATTTCTGAATGAAGCGCATATCACACTGGCTGCACTGAAATGGCTTCTCACCTGGGGTTTGAATTGTGAACATCAGTTTATAAATAACAATAAAGACACTAGATTTCATATAATGCTCGAGGCAACTTTTTAGATTGGCATTGCTCCTCTTTAAACATGATGTATCATTTATTTATAAAGAGATGGTATTGTGTTTCAGTCTTTATTTCATGGTCAAGGCAACTTTTTAATTTCAACATGATATCGAATTTCAAAGCAAGAGGTTGATAGGGCTGCATTTTAAAACATGACTGTGGTATCAATACCTGTGTGAATGAAGACATGCCTCTGTAGGTGGTAGTTGGTTCTGAATGCAGCATTACAGTGAACACAGACGTGACACTTGGGGCTTTGGAGGCCCAATGATCCATCATCATTGATGCTGAGAATCTACAACAGCAAAGTGAGAAAGACATATCAGTATCTGATACACAATCCAAACCGTGGACAAATATTACAAACATGCAGGTCAGACCATTTAAAAAATATATTTTTTAAGATAAAAACTGACCTGTACCTTTGCTGGTGAACGCTGCTTCCTTTTTTTCTTCTTGGGAGACACCATCAGGTCCTTAACTGCTTTTTTCTTAATTTGGCCCGGTGCCTCGGACAGCTTCAGTTCCTGCTTGATGCTCAACTGTGCAGCAGAGCAGAGATAGGAAAACACATTTTAAAAAGGCACATAACCTACTTCAAAGTCCACCCACTCATCCAGCTGCTTATCAGGGTCAGGCAGGTTGAGGATAATAACCAATGTGAGGGGACTTCACCACGCAGCAGCTTCCCCTCCACAATTTCAGAGGCAAGTTGAAAAGGTTCAAGCATCCTCTGGCAACAACCAAAGGGAAACCTCAGGTCCTACAAAACACAGGACATGCTGAGATATCTCCTCTACCAGCTGGGAGCCTCTGCAGACGCCATATGACTTATTTAACGATGCTGCCTAATTTTAACATTTGAGCATTACGAGTGTTTCGTACAGAAATGATGGATATGTAACATCCAAGTTGTAAGAAACAGGAATTAAATCCTTAAGCCTGATCCTCAGTTCAGGCTATCCTAGATGTTTACACTTACAGCATTAAAAAGTATGTTTACTGTGCTGTATAGTCATTCTTCTGCATGCCAAAAGATTAAACAGCACACACATTTCAAGCTAATGCTTTTATCTTTTGAGACTTTTTGACTTTGAATGCAAACAAGTACACAAGCGGTAATTCCTCACAACAATATATTATCCCTAATGTTGGTTATTTTCAACTGTTTTCTGTGGGATGACAGACTTTATACTTATATTATACTTATATTAGTTTCACACATATTGTATCAATGTCTAGATTTAACTGCATTTAATCACTGTTCCTAAAAAGGTTGTCATTGTTTTGCAAAGCAGCTCTAAAGCAAACCGTCAACAGCATGATGGTTGTCATAAATCTGTCCACACCTGTGAATTCTCAGTCTAGAAGGAAATAATGTCCCATAACAAATATTGCATGGCAATACATGAAAGGGAAATTAATATAACGACGTCTAGCTACAGTAGCAACATAAATAATCTCGTCCATACATGGACTACTTCTTATGAACTCACTGGCATATGAAGCAAGCAGGGCAACTTATTGGTGAGTTTTAGGGGGAAATGCACCTCTCCTGCGCCCTCCTCTGCTCCTCCTCTACCATTCTTTGTCATCTCCTCCTGCATCATCAGCTGATCTGGAGGAACCAGGTCATGTGTGACCAGCGAGCTGCCAGTCAAGTCGGTGTCTTCATCTTCATCGTCGTCGTCGTCTTCCAACAGAGGGTGGTCTGCCAGTGATCGATCCCCCAAGGTCATCACCACCAAACCTCCCCCGCCGCCCAGTCCGACTCTCCCTCCTCCGTCCTGCCCTCCACTGCTGCCCTTCAGCAGCATGCCCTCCAACTTGTCCTCAGTGTTCATTTTACATAGAGTAGTTCTTTAGTCTGTAAAAACAGAAATAAATAGGGAGATGACTGGACGATGTTGGCAAGCTAAATACTAAACATTTTGCTCTAGTTTATTTGACCATGAAAAAGATTATTTAAAATCACACACAAAATAACATAAAAAGAAAACATTTGCATGGACTGTAAAGAAGTAGCTCAAATGTAACTAGCGTGGTGAACTCACACTTTAAAGTTAACCATACGCCCATAATTGACCTTTTTTCCAAAATTGCGATGGTTAATGATTATATTAAAATGCAAAAATTGACCTTTTGTATTCAATTCTGGCAGCTTAAAACTCTTAAAAATGTAAGTTGTGAAGCACGGCTCAAGCAAGTCATCAACACCAGCTTTAAGTCACTCGTAGGGAACGCTGCACTTGGTCAAGAAAACTGCTGTTGATTTTGTAAACAAGTTAAAATTCAGGTGCTCTTACAGGACAATGCAGTTGACTATCCAGTGTCTGTCATACTTTGAGTGGAAGCACACAGTAAGTGTTGGCATACTGAAAAGCATAATGTATTGTAAATTACACATCCTTTTTTGATACATTCATAACCAATGTGTTTACCAGTCAATACTTTACCAGGGGTATGATCACACAAGGATTTTAAACTTACAACCAGAGTGTGCCATGCATTCTTTTTAGATTGTCAACTTAAACCAAGTATTTCCACTTAAATTAAGCTGGATACTCATTGTGTTTTATTCTTACTGAAGAACCAGCTCTAGCCTAGTTGGCATGAGTTTCCTATTAAGGTGATATTTAAGAGACTCAGGAGCTCTACTGCTATAAATATGATGTCCCAGTAGGTTTCACTAAATTGCCGCACATATATGGCTTTAGCTCTAAGAATATGAGCTTTTAGCATATAGTAAAACGTTAGGACTTGTAATCCTACTCAGTTCCACATTTGTTGTCCATACAATGCCATCTCCCAGTAATGTGTCAAGTTTTGGAAGTGGGTCAGCTGTGGTTTCTGTGATCTTATCTTAACGTTACAAAATGTACTATACAGTGTAAAGGGATAGCAAGCACCGTGAAGCAGCCCAAAAAGTTGATAATGTATTGACATGTTGTGCTGCTTTTTTTAAGGCGAAGTAGTAAAACGTTTGGAGTTATTTTGTTGACGTTAATGTACTTTACTCAACAGCCAGGTATATATTTTTTTAACGGCTCATCGCGAGTCTATGTTGATAACTTCATATGTACAGAACCTGATAATGTATTGACATGTTGTGCTGCTTTTTTTAAGGCGAAGTAGTAAAACGTTTGGAGTTATTTTGTTGACGTTAATGTACTTTACTCAACAGCCAGGTATATATTTTTTTAACGGCTCATCGCGAGTCTATGTTGATAACTTCATATGTACAGAACCGAAGGTATAAAAATAGCTTTACATTTTAGTCAGCAACATTACACTTGTGTTTCCTTCCCTTCAACAACACCTAATTAGTTAACTAGCAATCACTTGATCTGAAAACGGTAACGTTAACGCTAGCTAACCTAACGTTAGCACTTGGTGACAGGTTTGACCTAACCTTAGCTAACACAGATTAAACTCAGGAGACAGTAGGAATCTGTCACGGTTCAAACACACAACAACAAACACTTACTCCCATATGTAAACACACTCACTGTGCCACAGGTTAAATGGGTTAAGTCTCTTGCTAGCCAGCTAGCTAGCCGCGCTTGACAAGGTTGCTACATCACATTTTACGACAGCTAATGAAGAAACGTAGGGGAAAAGGCGAATGTGCCTTCAAAATAAAAGCTCGTTCAACACCTCACATTAAACTACGACCACAAACTTTACACTTAAGCTTCTAACTATTTCATAACAGTAGAGTCATGCTATGAAACAATGTCTGCTATTTAAAGAAATCAAGACATAATTGTGATGTATAATAGGAAGCCATGTAGTTGGCTTTGGATCAGCTGTGATGGCATTAAGTACGATTATTTGAATCAGTTGTATTTACTGTTATTTAACTGCATTTCTATTTAGTTTTATATTGTCAAAACTGCCATGTTGTATTTTAAACATCTGTTTTTATAATGACGAATGCTATTTAAATAAACTAAAACATGAATAATGTGTCCTATGAACTAAACACTTTTTAGGCATTTTTTTTGACTGACTTTAAGGTTTAAATTGAAATAATTACTATATCTTGAAAACACTTAACATCAAAACAGTTGCATTACATGGAAATTGACCGGAAGTTGCACTTTCCTTCACCGGCTTGACAAAAGTCTACGGCCTGTTGAAGCTAGCTAGCTAGCTGCTGCTAGCAAGTTGCAGAAAACATTGCATTTTGTTGGTGTAATATACCGTTGACAACGCATCTCCATTGCATTGTAGGTCAAGTATTTAACAATACATTTTAGCGCTCATGAAATAGAATACATGACACAAAACACAACTTTCGTTTGCACCTTTTACCAAACTTGTTAGCAGGGCTAGCTCGCTCAATAGGCCACAATGTTATTGGCTGCTAGTTAAGCTATCGTTCGCTAACCCGCAACTCATCCAACAATAACATTCATATCAGTAGCGCACAAGTAACATGTCAACTATTAAAGCTGCATTGTTTCTTCTTACCTGCTGTGCGTCTTAAAGCCGTTTAGCTGTCATGATTGTTATGCAAGACTACAGTGTAATGATGGTGTGCGGAATAATCAAATACACCATCACATTTTATGAAGACTTGATTTTTATTTATTTGTCGCCATCTAGTGGTTCACATCGGCTGCAGGTACAGTGCGCTCCTGACCACTCGGGCTCATAATGTTCCCTCATGCTTCATTTTGGCGACCTACTTATTCTATAATCATAATGTCCTTTCCGCGCTTTTTAATCAGCTTTTTCGTAATAATACTTTGTACATTCAGGCAAAGATAATGATTTCTAATTGTATCCTGTACAGTGGCTAATTATGATTTGTGTTCACAGAATCCATCCGGAAATGCAGCACGATACCATTTGTGAGGCAACATAAAACATTTGTTTCATGCAGTCAATATGGGGTGATTGTAAAAGCTACAACCTTAGTCTACACTTTAGTCACTACTCTGTATTTGTCCTTGCTAAAGTTAAACGACAAACCGATTTTCCTATTGACCATGTTATTGCAAAAGTCCAATTGAAGGTATAGGCCTCGGTGTTCGCTAGAAAGAAGATGCCCCTTCAAAAGAAAAACACACAGACAATACAGCTTCTTCAAAAATAACCATTTCGTTTTATTAAATAGATTATCTCCTGCAAAGATAGCATACTTGACACCTACATTTGTTCCCATTACATTTCTAAACCATTTTCCTTTTTTATGGGATTATTGTTGGATTAGTTATTTTTGAAATGGTGCAACATAGCAACTTTATGAGAATTACCCTATGTAAATTAGCAATAAAGGGTAGATCAAGTGGAAGAGGGGTTTAGTGCAATAACCATCTGGATTCATCTACTAATCCTTCCACAGCTTTGCTTCAAAAAGGGATACGGTCTTGATAAAATGACAGCCTGTCATGCAGAGCCATCACACAGACACACACACATTCACACACAAAGACACGCACCGCCGTGAAGAATACTAATCAACCTGTTTGCAGAAGCTCGGCGCACAACTTTCATCCATCCTGTATCTAGAACTCTCTGCAGGATTTCCTGCAAACCTCCACCTGCTGAATTTCATCGGGTTTCAGTAGTCTTCTCTGTCTCTCTCTTCCCTGTCTGTGTCTCTTCAGAGCGACAGACAGCAGGAGAGACTGAGTCTGAGCCTCTGAGGACATACAGCTCACTCGTGCGTCGCTTCCAAGAGGGAAGCCCCCCACGCGTTGCGCACTGAGATCGCCGGTAGAAACTCGAGTGTGCACGTGTGACAGGCTATAAATGTGTGTGTTCGCGCACCATACAGCCCCGGACTCCCTCCTCAACAGTTGCTGCCGGAGCGGCGGAGAGGAGCGGTGGAGAGCGAGAGAGACAGTAGACTGAGGACGGACGCGGCGCTCTGCCCGGCTCTGCTCCTGACATGCACTCGATCATCTCTCCGGTGACCAAGGCCATCCTAGTAGCGCTCTTCATCTTCGCGATACTCCTCATCCTCTATGTAATCCTTTGGTACATTTGCAGAGACGTGGACTGCGACCACGGAATTTGAGGATATTCCAAACGGCAATACCGGGAATTTCTCAATGGGGCGCACAGAAGAGCCCATCAGGGTCATCCCGTAAGTCTGCCTTTTTTTGTAATGTCTTTCCTGATGTGTATAGCTGTTTCTAGGTTATCTGTGGATGTGTGTGTGTGTGTGTGTGTGTGTGTGTGTGTGTGTGTGTGTGTGTGTGTGTGTGTGTGTGTGTGTGTGTGTGTGTGTGTGTGTGTGTGTGTATGTGTGTGTGTGTGTGTTCACGCGCTTTTTGGTCGTGCGTAATGTTAAATGCGCTTTGGTAAGATCAAGTGCGTCTCCACCGGCACGAGGGATCCCAAACCCAAATGAGCAGAGTCTCAAATTCCTTTCTGTTCAACTTGGCAGCGGCCGTCTATCGATTCCGGCTCATGTTTTAGAGAGCCGGCGTTGTATCTGACAGTGGATTCTCAAAGGTGATACAATGTCATCAGAGGATATCGAACTGACGCGTGTGTGGGCTATCAATTAATAGATTGGGAAGTCCACCGGTGACATTGCGGTAAACGGCGTGGTGTCCCTTAAGCTCAAGAACAACAGTGATTACATGCAGGTTGCCAATATTGTGTTGTTCTCCCCCTCCTCCTCTTCCTCCTCCTCTTCCACCTTCGGTATATCTGCAACATTAGTTCATGTTCAATTCATGTTGGTCTCTGAGGATGCTTCCAAATTTTACATCCAAAGAGATAACAGGATTAGCTCTATTGGCTCCTGCACGTCTAATTCCTAATCTGTTTTGTGCCATGTTTGTGACTCCTTATCAAGAAAACGCCGCTAATGCTTTTACGCATAGCGCATTTATATTCCCCATGACATCAGTGAGCTTGTTTAACAACATGAGATGTCCGATGTTAGTAAAGAAAGATGCTCTTACTTTTACGCAAAACACACACACACACACACACACACACGCAAAATTATTCCAAAGAAAAAACACCCCTTAAGCGAAGATACTCTGATTGTAGACTCTCGACTTTCCGTACCGTCATGTCAGTAAGGTATTTTTCATTTTTTATTATGCGGATGTTACTATGAAAAAGTAAGGTGCTTTTAAATTTTGAGATCTGTGCATCTCCGCTCTCTACTACGAATATTATACAGGACCGTCACATCACGACTACATCAATTATGTAATTCCCCTTTTTATTGTGTGTTGTGTATACATTCTCTCTCTCTCACGTGTATGTCTTTATTGAATCCTTTATTGTTTGCTCCGTGTTGTCGTTTATTGAGTGTGTGGTTCAGACAGAGAGGAACTAAAATGCACTCTTCATCTCGGTACCCGAAAACGCTCAACTATGTTATTACCTTGAACTTTTTTGTTTACATTGAGCGTTAGTGAATGTACTAATACAGGTTTACAGGTTCACGAATGAACATCCGTTAACTTACCTAAATACAAAGATTTGATTTAAGTCTGTTACTTAATCACACTGAGTCAACCTCTCTTGTGTTTCTCAACTATTCTAATGACCTCCGTCGTAATAGGTTCACAAAATAGAATTAATATGTTTAAAATAATAAAATTAGAGCATATGAAATCTACGTCATGTAATTTTGATACCTATGAACGAGTGCACAACATCAAGTGTATTTTTCGCATTTTTACAAGTACAGTGTTGACAATTCTCACAGGAACAATTTAAAGGACCGCCGCTAGGACTAGGTTTGTGTTCAGTGAATAAAGGAACCGAGGTACGGATTGGGAGATGTTCGAAATAAACGTGAGTCTCGTGCAAATGCTCTGAGACGGTGACCGTCTGTTTGTTTATTTGTTATTGGTAGTGTCCATGTGTATACAACTAAGTTGTTTGGAACTTACATAGTTAACGTGTAAGTTTTAATTTAGTAATGGTCGATTTACTGGTGTGGTCGATACCCCTATCTTAGTTCCTCGTTATCTCCTTCTTCTTTGTGTGTGTCCTGTGTGTTCTTGACTTGTTTATTTTTCATTTTATAATTATTCGTCGAATGAAAAAATATTAACTAGATTATAATAAACATAAGATGTTGAACGTAAATTGTTTGGTGTGGATAGTATTAAAGCGTGGTATATATTTGGTAACCAGTTTTGTAGATTTGGGATAATTAGTCTTGGTCGTTACCGAAAAAAGTCCGTCCTTATTTCTCGTTTATAGCAAAAAGTCTATATTGACAAGTTATAACCACTCTCATAACAAATTGAAAGGACATTGAAAAGATTTATCTAAGTATAATCTCAATGCTTTCCTTCTAGTAAACTAAAGACTATAAAACCCATCATTCTCGTGAAAATCCCTTACCGATGACCTCAGGTTCACTTATAGAGGTTACCAACAATTTGTACATAAATTGTGAATATGTACGCGTGTACAATGTTTGTCACAAAAAACAACTGCTTACATAATGCGTTGTTCAGGTACAATTATCAGTCAATAGGATGAAAGCCTAGTAACTGCGGTGCTGCACCTGTGCGAGAGTCGAAGTCGTTCGAAGTGGAACGGGAGACTGGAGCTATTTATTTTTCTAGTTCTTTGCAATAA